AAAAGATCAGTGCTATCGGTGTGGCCTCGTAGCTCAGCTGGTAGAGCATGCGCGTACAAGGAATGTGAAATTGGTGAATACCATCGGTGTGGCCTCGTAGCTCAGCTGGTAGAGCAAATTGGAATGTGAAAAAGATCAGTGCTATCGGTGTGGCCTCGTAGCTCACCTGGTAGAGCATGCGCGTACAAAGCGCATCATCCGTGTTTGTCAGAAATGACTCTTCACGAGGTGGGGCATTTTATTTATTCTCTCTAAATTTCACGTAGTACTCCTGTGTTGATTGATTCTGATTAATGTGTCAGTGTTGCTATCCTGACTGCCGTATGGATCAGAGTAAGCGATGAATTCACTAAACCAGTGAAATGACTCTACTTTAAGTACCGAATAAAGTGGTTACTATACTTACGTTCTTTTCATTCTATATACATATATATGTATAAACCATGAAGAAATTATCAGGGAGAGAGCTGTCATCCAAGGGGCTACCGTACTTATAAAGTGAAAAATGTCAGATTGCCGTGGTGGGATTCGAACACGTCCTCCGGGATGATAAGTTGGTCACCTTAAGCGCTTTCACACGCGGTCTGTAGTCGAAGCGCAAACTATCGTTTATGGGATAAAAGTGACTCATTGATCTCGTTTAATTGACTTTTTTACCCCCACCCGAGTCGCGCTTCTCATTCCACACTGGATATGAGACAGCATGATAGAGAAAATTACAGAAATATGATTATAACGCACAGATAAAATTGCATCCCTCAAACACCAATGCCGTATTCCGATTCTCGGACAAATTAGGATTCCATTTTAGTTGGACCTATTCCAGTTTGTATTGTATTACTGGAGATCGTTCTCCTCTGACAGAAGGATCTTCGGTCAGAGGCCAATAAGGCTTGGTTAGTTTTTTCTGTCTACATTTGAAGAGCTGTTTAGGGAGAAACATTACTTGTGAACGGTCAACAGTTTCTCATGAAAGGATTTGAAATTCCACCAAGCTTCATTCATCTCACGGAAATACAAGCACAGGCTCTGAGGATAAGGGAGGCATCTCGCTAGTGGTTTAACATCCCCGGTGGCAAAGATGTTCCTGATGATTTCGGTGCTGTCCATTTGATGCCGCTCCTGAGGACCACGGTGATTAAAAACGAACCTATGTCGAATTCTATCCCTATTATGTTTCATGTTAATTGGCATGTGATAGCTTGAAAATGCATTCACTGAGGTTTTCTAGCCCATGCACTGTGTTCTGTCTGACGTGTTCAATCTTCCCGACTCACTGGCTACATTCTTTCGAAAGCAATTGTTCTGTACTCTTTGTTGATAATCAGCCTGTTCCTCCAGTACATTCTCTGTAATACCTCGGTGTCGCTTTCCTCCAAGATCTCAACTGGACTTCACAGTTAAACTTTACTTTTAAAAGGATTCGACGACTGTGTTTCTTTATTCCCCGCTTTCATATTGTGTTGTTACTCATCTTCTTCACTACTCCCCAGTTTTATTTGTCGGTCTTGCAGTTAAAGATTACGTAATCCTACGTCGATATATAAAAACCATTTCTCAAACAAGCGGTATCCCCCATTTGCAGTGGCTTAACTTTATCGCCGACAGGCATTTTACTTCTTGCGAAAACTCCTGCAACAATACTTTATCAGACATCACTCACCCATCACTCACAGGGAACCTAGACAATGCGTATCCACTTCTGATTATAAACTTATGTATGCTCGTACCATTGCCAATCCTTTATCTGTCATCCCCTGTTGTTCGAGCTTTCTGGCTAAAAAGGCATCCGTTAGAGAAAACGTTTTGAATTTCTTCGCAATCAATATCCATTTTTAAACAGTTACGTCACATTTGAATTTACTACACAGTTTTTCACTTTTTCTTTGTGAGTGTGTGCGATAATAAATGCTGCTGGAGTGCAAGCAGCTGAGAATATATCTATTAGGATGAATAAACCGATTTTGGACTTTTTGACTGGTTTTGCCTGTAACTTTTACCCCTCATCCACCTTGTCCGATTTTTTTCAACATGTCCATCTATTCAACAATAATCTGTCATGTACTTTTCTGTTGATAGCCTGTGTATATATACAGCTGATAGAGAGTGCCCGAAATAACAAAGTTAACGTTAACCTACTGAAAGCGGGTTTCACATTCGAGTGGTAAAATCGGTGAAAGGCACTGGATACTAGAGATTTTATACCTGTCTAAACGTTAAAATTAACCAGCAGTCCCTGATAAGTTAATTGTCATAAATCATGAACGAAACGATCGCAATTCAGTGCAGAAAACGTGTGTTGTGGCTGGACCGTTTACAATGAACCGCAATGGAGCTTGTAAGCTACCCAACCCAGTTTAGTGGTCGCTTATACCCGTTGACTATTTGCGTAAACAGAAGCGATTCACTTCAAAGTGAGATTCTGTTTATGTGCGGGCGAGCGTGAATTAGTTCGAATAGACCGGGTATGTGTTGAGCAGTCACCAGCTCTGCAGCGTCTAGTTTGTAGTTGCCGCCACACGGTGGTGCGAATGAGCCATAGAAAAAGATTTGTTCTCAGATGTGCGGAAGAATCGATGCTCCTGTTGGTTGGAAATACCCTGAAAAACATCATATACAGCTAGCAACGGTGACACTTTGCTATCAGCTGTTGGCAGATCAGGTAGTTCGAGAACTTATATGAGTGCAATTTTCATTCAACATTTTTACCAATGCGAGTGATATGCATTTCATTTGAAATTCAGCTAAAATGTGACTACCTTGCGATCTTGCGAGTGGTAAATGGAGTTGAAATTTTCAGTCTATTCATTCGGCGATTTTTCTCATGACAAAGACTGTAGTTTCACAAAGCTGTGGCTACTTGAAAATACCATAACTACCACACCATCCAAATGGAAGAAACAATTCGATTAGCCAATTACAATTCTTATCCACCTACCTTCAGCCCGTTTCACCCGTTTCGTCAACTTTCGGGTGAATAGAATCTACTGAAAACGAACAATAGTTCACTCAGCAAATCTATAGTTTAGTAATTATCAACTCCAATGCAAAATTGATGGTTAGCGTCGTTGCTTATGAGATCGATTGAGGGGAAGCACTGAACATCTTGACTCGTGCTATTTATCGATTTCCCATTCAGATCAAAGGATTGGCAACAGAAAAATCAGGTCACATTGCACGGTGAACGAATCCGCCCGTTTACCGAAATCTACACGTAAATGTACTTTTAAAGTTAGTTAAGTTTGCAAAACTCGGCCAGTTGTGTCGGTGCGAACGCTGTCGCGTATCTGGTCCACAGAACGATATTTGGCAAGATGTCAGTGGAGTTACACTCAATATCAAATGATGGTCTCATCTATTTGATGGGAGCACTGCGGTTTCCCAGGAAAGTACACACGTGATGCGAGCGGAGGAAATGTATAAGGTCCGCACTGGACCGCGTGGCTCGTTAAACATTCAACATGTTGGAGGTCGTTTGATGCATGTGATCATTGCCTGTTTCTGGAACAGAATGATTTTATCTAGAGAACACTTGATATCATAAAACGGTTTCTGGACGAACAGAGGCGACTGCTATCACACCTTGAAATAGTTGTGTGAGTAAGTAAAACCATTTTCAGTGGTTTTATGG